GGTTGGGAGAGGTGGTGGCACCAAACAGGACGTGCCAGGATGGGAGCCAGGACCAACACCTGCAACAGCAGGAAGGTTTCCCCGTCCCCATGCCCACCTGGATCCGGTCAGAGTAGTTGTCCAGCAGCAGCACCCCCAGGCTGGTCACCTTCTTGGTCTCCACCATGGTTTTCAAATCCGCCAGCAGATTCATGTGCTTGGACATGTCCGTGGCCAGCACCTGGGCAGGGCAAGCCAGGAACGAGGCTCAGCCTGACCCCACCACAGAGCCCCCCAGCCTGGACCTCCACCCTGGGGTGGTCCGGGCCCCCCTATACCATGTCAATGGCCATTTTGCGGAGGGATTGCCTCTGCTTCTTGCTCAGGTTTTGGAAGATGTCACAGTTCTCCTCCTGGAGAAGTTTGAAGCCCACAGCCAGGTGGTGATTCTCCAGCACCGAAGCATCATTGTACATCAATGCCAGCTCCGAGTCTGCGAGATGGCACCAGTCACCATGGGGTGGCTCCTGGATGCTGGGGTCCCTCCCTCACTCCCCCCCCAGCTCTATCCCTCCACCCCAGCTCACTGGTATTGATGAGGAACTGGTTGGAGACACCAGGGTGGTCAACATCATGGATGGCACTGGCAAAGATAGCAGCCATGATCTCCAGGTCTGTGAAGACAGCCTAGGAACAGTGGAAAAAAGCATTGCAGATGTGTTATGGCCCCACCAGACACACTTGGTGGCCTTGGTGACCTTGAGTAACCAGGGCTCACCTCCAGTGCAGGTGTGGAGAGGAGGACGTGGGTGGACTGAGCCACGTCGGCGGCGTGGATGTTGTTGTGGTAGGCCACGTCAGCGTGGTAGTGGTCCTCCAGTGTCAGCATGTAGGTGATGAAGGTGTTGACGGGGATGCGGAAGGTCTTCATCAGGTCACGCTCCTGCAGGGAGGTGGGAGGTGGTTCGTCCCTATCAGGACACGGGGACGGGGACATCCTGTTGGGATGCTCACCTGGAAGATGCTGTACATGATGACCGTCAGTGGGCGGTTGCCCGAGTACTCGGCGACTTTAAACATGTTGAGCCCCCACTTGTTGGTGTCCTCCAGCTCCTGGTGACCAAAGGGACAAGAGATCCATGTGGTACCACCACCAGGGACCCCACAACCAGTTGGGTCACCCACACACTGGGGCCCACCTTGGCCAGCAGCTCCTCCTGCTCCGTCCGCACCCCAAAGCGAGGGATGCCGGAGGTGGCGGCGAGGCTGGAGCCGTGCGTGAGCTTCCTGACGCCGCTGATCTGGGACATGGGACGTTTCCTCCGCTCCTTCTCCTTGTCCTTGGCCAGCGCCGAGGTGATCTCCACCTCATGCTGCTTGTCTGGGGCAGCACAGGGGGGCTGTGAGTAGGGTGGGGGGCTGATCCCCACCCCTGGCATCCCCCCCGGTCACACTGATGATGTCAATCACGTGGATAACACTTTCCCTCCCCCCCCTGCATGGGGACACCCACCTGCCATGGGACCCGGACCCCGGACCCCCCACAGGGCCACAGAGACAACCCCAACAGCCCCAACGCACCAGTATGCACCAGTATACACCAGTGCTCCCAGCCAGGACAAAGGCTGTGACATCCCCAAGGCAGAAAATCCCATGGGGACACCTGGGGAAACCCCCCCTGCTCCCCTCTTGGAGCAAGAAGCGAGCGGGACCCACCGCTGGCACCGTCCCCATGGGCCAACAGCCCCAACGCACCAGTATGCACCAGTATACACCAGTGCTCCCAGCCAGGACAAAGGCTGTGACATCCCCAAGGCAGAAAATCCCATGGGGACACCTGGGGAAACCCCCCCTGCTCCCCTCTTGGAGCAAGAAGCGAGCGGGACCCACCGCTGGCACCGTCCCCATGGGCACCCAGTGCCATGAGGTGAGGGGTGCGCCGCCTCCCGTTTCAGCATCCTCTGGACCTGGGGGCAGCGGGCAGGGCTCAGCGGTGCTGGGGGGCAGGCAGGACCCCCAACTACCCATCCCAGGGTGGGGGGCTCTGCAGTGCAGGGGTCTCTGTGACACCCCAGGGTGACTCTTACCTTGTTGGAGGCCATCTCGCTGACCGAGTGCCGCGTCTGCAGTGTCTCCAGCTGGTCCAAGCACCAGTCCAGCTCC